GATTACTTCGTGCTAGAGGAATATATATATATTAAATTTAATAATTTTCTTATGTTTAAAGCATGGAAACGTACCGAAGAAGGAAACAAATTCGAAAATTTATAACATAATTACTAAAATTATATTAAATAAAAGTAATTTATAACGTTAAATAATGAATAATTTAAATAATTTAGCTATATTTAACCATTGAACAAAGCAGAAATGAAAGAAAAATATAACAAGAGGCGGAGTAGACGTTATTCATTTTCAAAGTAAATCAAACCACCATTCTATATTTCGTAACTAAGGAAAAATATATAATTTTTTATTATAATTTAAAAGGATATCCGACCTAAAACTAGTGAAAAGACTTTTATTTGTACTTTTTCATAACTGCTTCCACTTGAATAGTGCTATTTACTTAGATGAATAGGTGCATTAAACGTATTTTTAAATGCAGATTTACGTCTTATAAAGAGCTTTTAAACAGATGAAAAGATATGGAAATTTAGGAATAAATTGATATTTTTAATAAATATTAACTTTACCACTTTATAAATATTTGTTCTAATTGAATTTATATAACAGTTATATTCTAATTTTATGAAATTTAATAGCTCATTATACTTACGTTTTTTTTTTTCCTTTTCTTTTTTCTCGCTTGTACTTTAGGATTTAACAATAAAATTTTCAACATATTCGTATCAAAAACTTCACCGTTAATGTGTGAATTTTCTAACATACTCCACCTGTTAACAATGATTCAAAAATATAGAAGAAAAGTACAAAAATGTGGAAATAAATAACAGTAATTTTGTTGATTGCTTTACTTCATAACGACGTCAATTCGTTACGCTAAAAGTAAAGCTAAAAATAAATAAAAAAAATGCGGTTAGAAGAGAGAAAAACATCAAAGGAAAAACCCACAACAACCCAACTGTATAAACGATAATGGAAAAGATATTGGTTAACGAAAGAAAGTAAATGAAAATGATAAAATTAATGACCACTCCATTATCTTTTCTAAAAATCCGAATCATTTATCGCCAAGAGAATAATCGATAATCGAGTAGAAAAAAGTACGAAAAATTTATTTATTGGTAAAAGATAATTAAAATTGATAATCTTCTTCAATAAATCAGTTTCTTTAATGGTCAAAACAAATCGAGTTACTACTTTTATTTTGATTTTATTTTATTTTATTTTATTTTTTCCCCATTCTGCCTCTTCCCCTTTGCTGTAGAAGAAATGGGAAAGTGGAAGATCTTTGAAGAGGGGTGGCAATGACCGCTATGGACAAGTCTTTATCCTCTGGGAGACAACTGGGAGGCCGTTATCGAATTCAACAGATCATTTGGGGACATAGGCCATTGAGGGATTCGGACAATTGATTCCGGACCGTCTTTGTAATGGCCCGCTTCCGTTTTTCTTTTTTTTTTTTCTGATGTCTCTAAATTGGTTGGTGTGATTGAAAACAGTTTATCACCATTTGCTGTTTGTTACTCTTATTCTCTAGAGTTTTAAACTGCTGCTAAATTTTTAGTGTAATTAAAAATGGTTCTTTATTGAAGTGATACTTTCTATTGAATAAATAGGCAACTTTAATGTGATATTTTACTTTCGAAATTTTATTTATTTATTTTTTTTACAAATTTGCTTCTTTTTCCTTTCAAGAATAAAACAATAAAACTACATCTCACTTCTTCATTTTATAACAAAGAAATCTTTTAAATTTCTTATTATTATTTCACTCGAATTCGCACTTCTTTTTTAACTTTCGCACCATTATTTTTAAATTTTAATTATATTTTTGATCTTTTAAAGAACAAAAATTAAATTTTTAATTATATTTCTGTATTATCATTTGTTTCTTCTGAAGAAAATGACATTGAAGTAAGGTTTACATTTTATATTTTCTCTCATTCATAAAAATAAAGCATGGAATAAAAAGGTAAAAAAAAAATAAAGAAAAATTACATATTTATTAAAAAACAAAATTATATTTATTTTATAAAATTAGAATTAATTCTTTTTCCGAAAAGAGAAACGTGGAAAAATTCTATTTTTTAAATAGGATCACAAAACAATCAAAAACTTTTTAACAATTTTTGTAGTTAGGAAAAAAAGAGCCTCAAGCAATAAGCAAAAGTGAAAAGAAGATGAATGATATAAATACAAAAAGCGAATCTTTTTAGATTTTCTTGTCTGCGTTCAACCATCTGCATGGTTGGATTTAAGTTTCTCAATGGAAAAGAGGCGACAATAATGCAAACTTAAACCCTTCTCAACGTTCGAAATTCCATTATGAACTTCTCAAACGTCTTTAATTAATACACACATACATCAAAATTAATTAAATTATCTTTATCTTTAATTATATAAAACTCTTTCCAATAATGATATCTTTTAGCTTAAAGGGTAAAAAAAATACATCATTTAAATTTACATCAATGGAAATTTAAAAAGGAGGGGAAAAAACACAAGAAAATTTTTCTTTGATAAAAATTCTTTTAAATTTAAAATAATATTCTTTACTTTAATGAGAAATTTAGGAATAAGACAAAAAATCATTTTAAAGTGACAAATAACAGGCTTTAAAAGTAGAAATAACTGTATAAAAATCTTGAGGAAAGAAGAAACGGTTCTTCTTCTACTCGTTGAGATCTAGGATTAGACAAAATCAATGAAAAAATAAAATAGTTTTCGATAAGTCTGTCCTGTTCCGCTTCCGTACTACTTCGATCGAAGTATTGGAAGAGAATAAAGAGGGGACAGGTAACTGAAGCGAAGCAATGGCAGATTACTTCGTGCTAGAGGAAGCTAGAAATTTTCACATCTTCTCTC